GTACCCTCGGCACGGCGCGTCACCTCCGAGAGATTCACCGTTAACCCCGTGGTACACCGACAACGCGACGAAAAAATTCGACACACACTCTTTTGCACGCACTATCTCCGGTGGACGAGGCTATCTTGCTGGTAAAATCCGTGGAATTCCGTGTGCGTACGCGTCTCCCTCGGGGGAAACGAGAAGGCGGTAATCGTGCGTGTACGTATCGGCGTCGGGGCGCGGACGCCGATTCAGCCGGCACTGAATATAATACACACCACTCCCGGTTGTTTTCACGTTCGTTTTTCCTCTCCGAGCACACGGGGACAGACAGACAGGCGGGCAGACAGACGGACGGACTTCTCGCGGAACAGAGAACACCACACCGCCCCGTTCAACGATACGAAACACGGCACCACGGACGACAGTACGCGAGAGAGAAAGAGAGAGAAAGAAAAGCGTTCGGCCGCCTGTCAAACAGTTCGACACCTCCGGGTGCCTCGATGCTGCCACTGCTACCTATGCTCCTCTCTTCTTCCTCGTCCTCTTCCTCCTCCTCCTCCGCCTCGTCGTCGTCCTCCTCCTCCTCCTCCTCCTCCACCGCCACCGCCGCCGCCGCCGCCGCCGCCGCTGCTGCTGCTGCTGCTGCTACCACTGCCGCCGCCGCCGCCGCCACCACCTCCTTTCTCCTCTCGCGCACTTTGCACACTCACTCCGCGAATACGCGTTTATTTACAGGAGGGAGCGAGTCGATTACCGCGTTCTTCGTTCGAAATTCACGTCCGTCCTGGCATATCGCGGGACGCGTCGTTATCGGGCGTTAAAATAACGCTCGGCGTCGTCACGATGCTTTTTACGTCTCCACGTCTCTCTTTCCTCTCGAATTTTCGTTAACCGGCCTCTCTCCTTCGACAGAGACTGCCCTCCTAACCGAAACAAAGAACGACGCTCGAGCCGAGCGCCCTCTGCCGTCGACCGTGCGAATCACAATGCGTTTCGCGAACACCGTCGACCAATCCACGCTCTCCTAACTCTTCTACCTTCTACGCTTCTACGACCTCTCACGGCGACCGGATGAAAATTTCATCGCACTTAATGAATGTACCTGACCCGACCCGACCAGACCAGGCCAGGCCAGGCCAGGCCGGACCTGGCTCTACTTGTAAAATAATATTGCTTCGAACCTTTATTTGCTCGAGCTTTTATTATACCATGATCCTGCTTTTGAATCAAATTTGACCGTTACTCCCAGCGAATATACGCAGGTATAACTCGTATGATTGTAATGGATTGAATTGAACGTGATGCGAGTACACGTTTTTTACATTTTTTTTACAACTGAATCGTGAAGAGTGTCAGAGGCCAACGGCTTGTAACGTGTTAGAGGAATTTGTGATTTCTAATGTAGCCTAATTTTGACCCTGACACGATTTATGAGATATCTATGCTTCCAGCAGGCTTTCTATCTATTAGATTATTCGTTACGCGTATACGTAAGAATATTTAAATCTAACGGATATTACACATATCGCAGATTAACGGTGTATTATGTCATGAATTAATTTGGTTAGTTCTGAAATCAGCTGTGAATAAAATAATTGACATACTACTGAAATTTGGAGAAAATGTCATTCTGCATCATTTGTTATGCAGTATTAGAAATAATAAGTTTCGCGTGTAGATGGAGATTCATTTTGTATGTGCTGAATCTGATCAAATTGTACAGTGACATAATACTTCACTATTTACCACAAAAATATATCCTATAACTTTACTAGATACTACTAAAATTAGTGATGTTGGTTGTGCTTACCTGCCCATTTCTAAATTGTTGTTGTTGTTGTTGCTGCTGTTGATGATGAAAAAGAGCAACTTGTTGCTGAGCTGTTATTTGGTTGTTCAGATAGACCAAGTGTTCTGCTCCAGGTGCTCCACTCTATAAAATACAAACAAAATTTTATTTGAAAACATTTATATACAACAAAGTATTTCAATGTATATTTAAAATTATTTTAATGAAAAACAAAGTTGTAACACATTATAATAATCTCACTTATAAGTTATAATGTAGATTTTATTTCTTATAAAGTTTCATGTCAACAATTATGCAAGTTTACAACTACTCACTTTTAATTGCATGGGATGTATCTCATAAGGGAGATGAACATTGTTCATAGTTTGTAATCCCAGTTGTTGTGGTTGACTTTGCTGTGGTACGCTCAGTTTAGTGATAGGATATTTCCACTTTTCTGGGTTCTGTAAATCATTAAATTGCACAGTTAAATAAAACTCTTTATTATGTCATCAGAGGGAAATTCATTATAATTTAATATACTCACATTATCGATGATAGCATCATCTGCAAGAGCCCAGGCTCTTGGAGCTTGTTTCGTTTGAAAAGTTGAAGATTGGGCATTGAATTCTGGTTCAGTGGGTCGTTGAAACACGTAACCAACCATGGCATCGTCTTGTGTTCTACTCACTCCCATTTGATGTGTCTGGCCAGGTTGAATACGCATACTATCACCACCAGCCATTACTTGTCCGCATTGCTCTACATCCTGTTAACAACAAAAACAGCCATCATTGTTACAATGTCTATGAACCAAATAACACTTTATGCCTGCATAAACTATATGTAAACTATACGTGTATAGTATCAAAAGAGCTATAGATTGAACAAATGTCAGGTAAACATCTTTGTAGATCAAATATTACGTGTTACAATGAAACTCCAAAATAGTTCTATCTAGTAATATTTATAATTAATATGAAGAACACAAACATTTATCTATGTCTTGTAAAGCAATAATAATGACTCAAGAAACAAATTCTTCACTGCGTTAAAACCTGTGCATTATTTGTTATTCGTAAGTACTAAAAGGAAACTGTTAAAGTAAACAATACTACTTCAATTTTGACATTACAATTGATAAAATAAATCTGAACAAAACATCTTTATTTCTATAGAATACTCTGCCATGATGGGTCAAACAAAGCACAAGCATATGTAATACTCATGCATATGCACAATAGAAAAAGTCCTCTCTCCTGTTTCAGCGAACAGAATAGAGTGCAGCTACATTGATTTGCAAAATCGTAACCGAAACGAATTACAAAACATACTAATACGATTGTGTAAACGTTCGAATTGACGTGCCACGGGCAAGAATCGCTTCTCTCCCCAACACACGTGAGATAGGTTATGATATTCCGAGCGCACATAAAAACTCTACTGTCAAGATAAAAATATCCGTGGAACGTGCGCCGACCTAGAAAAAGAGGAAAACAGAAAATCTGAAAAATAGGTGCGTACCGTGGGTATATGTCCGTTGGAGGAAGGATGGTGTAATTGCACAGAAGGTGCCGGTTCGCCTGCAGCACCAGCGCTACTCGCACCGAGCCACTTCATCGTTCTGTCAATCTGTACCGCTGCCACGGGCACGATCAACGACGATTCGACAGATAAGAGGAACCCTCACTGTGAAGGTTAGCTCGGTCAGAACCGGCGTCCGTAGCCAAAGGTAGAGATTGCCCGCTACGTCTGTTCCACGAGCATGTTCCGCGTGTGCGACCCTTAACAGTGCGGCATCTCTGCTGTTTCCACGACGACGATGCTGACAATGACGACGACAACGAGAATAATCACCCGCAGAGGAAACTTATTTATTACGAAGCCGCGGCCGAGAACGCCAGAGAGTACAGCAATGGCAGCTGGCCGCGAGCGGTGCTGCCGGATTTTTGACAACACTGCCGGACAATATGAAAAACGAAACGAGAAACACAAAGGGAACCGTCGAACGGGCGCAACTCACTCTCTAGTCTATTCGGCCTTTCGGGTTTTACCAAACGACACGACCACTCAACTGACGGGCCAACAAAACCGAGGGGATGTCGAACAAGAAAAAAAAGTGAAACATACAAAAAACGACAATTGCTTGTTCATCGACGGCCGATGGGTGGGAAATTAGGGGTAGGAAATCGGAGAGGGGTGGAAACGATAATCGAGAAATCTGGAAAATTTAGATTCCGTTGTACCCACGTCACTTTTTTTCTCCCTTTTCTCCACTTTTTTTTTGCAAAATTTTTACACCGATAACGACCACGGATCCGATCAACGACGGTACTCTTACGGTTCGCAGTTGAAGTTTTACCTCGCCGCGGATGTCGTTGGGATGAGAGCGATTTAATGATACGGGTGTTGCTTCGATTCGATATTATTCGTAACTCCCTTTGCGGTTGCCGTAAACGTAGCGTTTTTTTTTCTCACACACTAAATCCCGTAAAACTAATGCTTAAAATACACTATTCACAGATATGTACAACGAAGTACAGGCACACAATGTGCGTCCACCGGCGTACGCGTGTTTCGCGCGCAAGGATGCTGTGCGATTTTCGGATGGGGTCCAGGGGCGCGGGGAGGGAGGAGCGTGAAGAAATAACCAACCCGCGTTTAGAAATACCGCGACACGATGCAGAGCTGATACGTTATTTCTGTCAATCTCATGCTCTTTCTATCTACGGCCCCCTAAACTATACTTTCACCGCACAGACAATCCGTCGATAACACTGGTAATATTGGTTAAAGAAAAGGTCCGTAGGATTCGTCCGGCGTTAATCGTCCGTTCACAATTCGCACAACGCAGTGCTCTCGAAGTGTCAAGATTCTAGGTTATACGACAGAATCATGCATGGAATGAATAGATAGCGATGTTCCATGCTAGGATCAACCGTACCATTTTTACCGCCATCTAATATGATAGTCACGTTCTAAAATTAGTTAACTATGTTTCTAATACTTCGCGCGTATTCGCTGATTTTGTGAATGCTAATAAAGTCGCTTGCTTGACCAAATAGTTCTGTATACGTGCGTAATATTATCAAGGTAATATCTTGATATGTTTCATAATGCCATGTAACTTTATTCCTATTCTTGTATATATATATACACACGCACACACGCACACATACACGTATAACGTAAGAAGAAATTTATTTGTAACAATGGTATTTCTATTTTTTAAAGCAAACGTATCCGCGAATTAGGATACACTGCGACTGCTTCAGTGGGAACTCTTCATAATACGTTCGTGAGGACTGTAATTTATATTGGCGGTACTTACCGTATGAAACCCTGTTTAATGACTGTAGAACTACACATGAAACAGATCAACCTGTCAATTGAATGTAGCCAGCCTTGTTCCTATGACCACGTTAGACGATAACGTATGCTTTTTTATCGCATATTTAAGTGGCTCTTACAGAGGTGTTGAAGCACACGGTAAGATTACGTTTCGGACAAGTCGATGATTTTTCACGTCCCATACATCGAAACATTTGCATATGTCAACTAAACGTTATTCACATGTAGTGACAATTTATGTTTATTTTTGCTATTTACTTTATTTGTTTTAATATTGAATGGAATAGCATAACACATTTGTCGGAGGTTATTGGCAAATTCAAACGAGTATAATTTCTTGTATTATACTTACAACCATTTGTGTCGGTGTAATTGTTTGTGTATAGTTTTGTCTGTTGGGAACTTCTTATTGGTAAAGTGGTTTCATTAAGTATAATTCCCACTGTTATTGTGAAGCAATCAAGCACTGTAAATTCATGATTGCATTTTGATTGTATCGTTAATTACTGTGATATATATTGTTCAGTGGTAACACTTTATTCTTTGTTTTACAATTTGTAGATGTCGTAATGCTACACATTAAATCTTATCATCCTACTACCACGATATAAAATGGCAACATTTTGGTCAGGACGACCCGGATGGTTAGGAAAAGTAGGAATAGCATTATTGGCTACATGGCTTTTGGTACTAATTGTATCAGTTTCACATATCTTTAAGACAAATAATTTATCTCCAAACAATGAGAGTCCTACGAATAAAGAAAATGCTCAACGTTTAGCTCAAATGATGAACGACTTTGAAGTTTTAAAGAGGCAAAATGAAGCATTGAAGAATATAGTTTTAGGGTAAGTACACAAATGTAGCTACCAAAGATTACATGTTCCTTTGAAGTTTAAAACAAAGAGGCTGCTGATCTTTTCGTTGTACAGGGTGTCATTATTTTCAGAGAAAGGTCCAAGTCCGTTCAAGGAGACCATTTAGGTTCAATACATGAAAAGCTAGACAAAGTTTCCATTTATGATGATTTTATAGATCATCAGGAGAATTCTAAACATGGTATTCCTTCGTTAGAGTATGAAGAATTGCGAAGAAGAATAAGAAACAATGTACAAGAAGCATGGTAAATATAATACAAAAGGCATTACTTTACTTTAGACAGCTATACACTAAACATTAAGAATATTATATATAATATCTTAATTTTTGAGATAGGTATTATATTAGTGCAGAATTAAATAAGCTTAGGAAAACTATTGATAAACCAAGTTATGAGCAAAAAGAGAAAAAAATACAAGATATAGTAGAAAATATTTGGGATCATAAAAAATCTCTTATAATAGATATTGATAGATTAACAAAAGCAGATGGCTATAATGAATGGCGTAAAAAGGAAGCAAAGGATCTCTCTGATCTTGTACAAAGAAGATTCAAGGCTTTACAAAATCCTAGCGATTGTAGCAAAGCAAGAAAATTAGTTTGTAGTTTAAATAAAGGTTGTGGATTTGGATGCCAGGTAGAAACACTTGATTGTTTAAAAGTATAAATATATATAGACAATTGCAAATTAAATTTTTGTATATTTTAGATTCATCATATTACTTACTGTTTCTTAGTTGCTTATGGTACAGAACGAACGTTAATAATTAAATCTAAAGGCTGGAGGTACCATAAGGACGGCTGGGAATCTGTTTTCAAACCACTCAGTGATACTTGTATATCTACAATTGGAGCGTCCCATGCTAATTGGCCTGGCGACTCTTCTAAACAAGTAATCTCATTGCCAATTGTGGATAATGTTTATCCAAAGCCTAGGTACCAACCACCAAGCGTACCTGCAGATTTAGCTCCTAGATTAGAGAAACTTCATGGACATCCTTTAGTGTGGTGGGTAGGTCAAGTTTTGAAATATTTAATGCGACCTCAAGAACATGTACAAAAAACTCTGGAATATGCAAAGGAAAGACTTGGTTTTAAGAAGCCTATTGTTGGGGTTCATGTAAGAAGAACAGATAAAGTCGGAACTGAAGCTGCTTTTCATGACATAGACGAATATATGACTAAAGTTGAACAATATTTTAATGAACTTGAAGTAAAACCAGAAGTGAAGAGAGTCTTTTTAGCTAGCGATGATCCAAAAGTAATCACAACCGCAAGAAGTCGTTATCCGAACTATGAAATAGTGGGAGACCAAAAAATAGCTGAAACAGCATCAGTCGCGAAGCGATATTCAGATTCGTCCTTACAAGGAATAATTATAGACATACACCTTTTATCTGAATCCGATTATTTAGTATGCACATTCAGTTCTCAAGTATGTCGTGTGGCATACGAATTGATGCAAACGTATTATCCAGATGCATACAATCGATTTACATCTCTGGATGATATATATTATTATGGTGGACAAAATGCACACCCTCATCAAGCCATTTTAGATCATAAACCGAGAAGGAGTGGTGAAATAGAACTAAAAGAAGGAGATTTAATTGAAGTATTTGGAAACCATTGGGACGGTTATTCGAAAGGATATAACACTAGAACTAGCATGACTGGTTTATTTCCTAGTTTTAAAGTAAGAAATCCTGTGGACGCTGTAGATTTTCCGAAATATTCAAATGTCCCGTTACATGAAAATAAGAACGAGTAGACTTATTTTGAATATGTAGTGATCTTGAAAATATTCAGATTGCTTGCAAAATGATATAACTTGCCTTCGTATTCAAATTGTTGAAAACGGTATAAAAAATTATGAATACGTATATATTTTATTACTAGCAAGTGACAGTTTTAATTTCTACAAAGTAAAACTATCACGAGTTGTGAGACAAAGAAGTAAGTTATGTTTTATATAAATCTATTTGTTGAATTTTAAGAAGATCGTATAATAATATGTGCAAAGTAAAACTAGAGAAAATTCTAAACAAATTTACGATCTTCTTACAAATTGAACCAAAATAAAGCATTTACAAAACCTCATAATATGCGATATATACAAAAGTTATTTGTGCCAATGCATTTCATTCTTTAAAAATTACATACAAATGGCAAGCCAGTGCTTACATTAACTAGAAAATACATAATGAAGTCAATTTTTATATGTTATAATTAGTAACTCTATATCATTAATCTCACATCTCTTGATAAAGGCTTGCATTATGGTTCATTGTCACAACGTACAATTTGTACATAAGATATGCAATATAAAATTAATGTACATGACAGTTTTTTGATGACATTAGAGCTTATACAATACGCATAATAAATAATGCATAAATTACATATTAAAAGCATAAAATGCATAGACATCGAGCTGGGCTTGAGGCCTATCTTATACATTTAAGAATGTTTCCTGTATACATATTGTAATATATTTTATACTATACACCAAACACAAATGAGAATTGTTACTATATTACAAAATCTGACTTTGGTTTTTAATAAATATTTAATTCATGAAGTTTATAATTCCTTGTATTTCAACCATCGGAAGTCATATATATGTTCTTATTCATTTATTGCGTCTTTATGTATCTTTTTTTAAGTCAAATGAACGCAACGAAGTGAGCAGTAAGTTGCTAACAGTTACGCTTTGAAGTTGAACATGCACTGACATATTTTTGAAGTATTTCATATTTTATAAATTCACCTGAACATTATTCAAAATTTCAAGAAAAATTTACAATAACAATTCCTATGCTAATTTGGTGTGTTTAAAATAAGTAATTTTGACTACGTTTTTATCATTAGTAATCGTCAATAATGATTTTGTTTTATACTTAATTACATCTGTTAATTTCAACGAAATTTTGGAATATATAACAAATTTAAAGAAATGGCACAGGTATTTCGTCTATACAAATATGAAATACCTATGATAATTCGTTATTATGGAATCAACAGTCATCAGCAAAGGTTAGCAGAAAGTGGATATACTGTCTACCTACTTACCTATGAAATGTTTATCTTTATAAAGAAATTTATTTTTAAAGATCTAAATTTAACTATTACGAAGCATTAAATATTTCTCCAAATGCAACACAGAAGGAAATAAAGGAAGCTTACATAAAATTATCAAAAAAAGTGAGTCAATATTTCTGTATTCGCTGAAATGTTGTTACATAGAAAATTAAAAAATTATCAGATGCATCCTGATAGTGGCACAGAAGGAAGTCATAAGGAGTTTGTGAAAATTAATGAGGCTTACACTATTTTGAGTAAGAGTGACACAAAGGAAAATTATGATAATAATTTAAAATGTAATTACACTTATACCCCGCCACCATATAAAAAAAATAGTTCTTCTTCTTCTCAAAGGTATTAAAACACGTATACATTTTTTTCCCTTGAAGTTTATCATCTCAGAAACATTTAGAATGATATAAAAAATTTTGTTTACAGATCACAATTTACTTATGAAGAGTGGGGATTTGTACATCCGAGTAAACATGTGTCATTCAGTGAAGAAAGTAGACAAAAAGGAGTGATAATGTGTCTAACTATAATGTTCCTTGGAGCAATTATTCAAATATTTCTTATTGAAAAATCTTTTGTTTTCAAAAGGTATGAAATGTTAAAGAGAAGTCAAAAGTATGAAGCTGAATATAATAAAATTAAGGAAGATGCTAAAAATAAATCATTAGAGGAGCAAATACAAAAGTTATATGATCTGCATAGAGAACGTCAAGCAAAACTAAATGGAGAATAATATAGTATAATATTTTATTAAAATAACAGTTGTTTTAAAGTAGTTTGGGTGATATAGTTGATTTTAATGTGTAAATTTAATATTAGAAAAAAATATATATATTTTATTTTATATTATAAATATTCTGCAATTTATTATTATCATTAATTGTACATTTTTACAGCACATATATATATACATATATATATATGTATGTGGAGATTGCACTTAAAGGATTTTAAACGAACAAAGAATAATTTGGAGTTCCATTTATTTTGAATAAAACAGAAAAAGTTTCCAGTAATGTTCATTGCACATAAGTCTATACATTTTGTGTTGTGTAAACTTTGTAATTTCTCAACATTGACAGGAATAGTAATAATTCGCTTATGATAATTCACAAAAACCACATATCGCTATATCTAAAATATGAACTGCATTTGACTCCTCTCATAAAGAGCACAGTTATGCGCATCACTGGACAATAGTGACGGCGTTAAAAAATTACTCGTACGAGAGCAAATCGCTTCAAATATGTGCATACATCCAAAAAAAAACTGTAGTAACTCATCGATACTTCCACAATCTCCAACAGTGAAAGATACAACGTTACGAGTAGTACATCCGATCGCTAAATGGTTCCGTACAAAAGTAATAAATAAATAAATGAAACCTTAAAAAAGGCTGAAAGAAAGAACGCATCTGAATAGTCATCGAAAAACGTATATGTGTGTTTTAGGAGTGCGTTTCTCGAAGTCATTTTGGACATTTTCAACAGGTACCCGGCGATAAAAAACCGATCGTGCCATCCTTTACAGTTTCTTAATATACGTAACAATCGCCGCGTGCGGCAGCATTGGTGAGAATACAGGTTTCCCGTCCTCGTCAACGTATTCCGCATAAGGTAGTTTGTAAATCGCTTCGAATCCAAGACCGGCGCATAGTTTTCCGGAGAAGAAAGAGGAACAATCAGCTCGAACAATGTGAAATCCTTTCTCTCTCCCGATCTCCCTGTGAAGCAGAAACACGTGAATATCTTCAACGTAGTCTATCATTCAATTTTACATGAACTTCTCACGATGAACGCTAAATTTCATCAATTGGGAGATGACTTGATGTTCAGCGGAACAAGGGTAAGAGCTGCCTTTCTAGTTCAGAGTTTTCTAGTTTCTTTTGGTTGCGTATAACCGTATCAACAAATTAATTCGAAAATATCGGGAATTAAGCAATAAAATCAACAGAAAACTCAGAACAGAATTCCTCGGTTTAGCCACCAAGTGATCTCCTAACGAGTCTATACATTAAATACTTACATCGTCTTTTCCAGAAGAGCTTTCGCGATTCCTTTACCCCTCCAGTTGGTGTCCACGGAGATTATCCTGATCTCGAGGGTGTTCAACCCCCGGTACTGTCCGTCCCGGTTCACGTTCCTGTCCACGTAATTCAGTAGCCTCAGGATCTTCTTAAATTTTGGGTTCTTGCAGGCCTCTATGTACTCCGGTTCGTCGTCGTTCGACGGCTCCATTTTCCCTGCGCCCAACGGAAAGTCCGATTTAATTTTCGCGATCGGAAAACTCCAGCGTGTGTGTTGCTGGGCGTGTATCCTACACAATCCCACCTACTTTGCGGAATACCAGTGGGGTGCAAAGTTTGCGTAACTCGTGCCGCCGGTGCAGAGACAATAAACAGGTATCATTCGAAACGCAATAACGACGACATAACTGCGCTACACGAGTTTAAAGAGACGTATTGTTGCCAGATTATAGATCATTGAATTTCTATCTAAGTGCCCCCGAACGCGTGTCGCAATCGGCGAGGAAAGACTAATTAGTAACGGAAGAAGAAAGATGTTCCCTCCGAGACAGCACTCGGATAACGCGTCCGTTCATCGCTCGCCTATTCTACTTATCGCACGTAAGAACGCAACGTCCAGAAGACAAGTTTCCAAAATCGACTTTCTCAAATGCGGAACCTCGCGCGAGGAAAGTTCTATTCTCTATTCTCCGTTTACTTTTACGTGCGATTGCATCACGGTTTCCGAAGCACCCGATATACATTGTATTAGCATGTTGCATAGTGAACGGCGATCGTACGTAGATTCTACTTCTAAAGGTCTCTAATTAGCATAAGCCATGCGACTTCCTGATTTCGCTCATCTAACATACTCCAGAATCCGATGCATACAAGTCTCGTTCGACTCGAGTTAAATGTCAATCGGTCTCGTTGCCGACCGTTAACGACGATCGCTCGAACGAATTCGGTGCGGACCCACCCTATCTTAGAAACAGATCAATGAGCGAAGCGAAACGAAAACCGTGAGTAATCCGGCTTCGATCGATTGTTTCGCAATTGCCGAGAAATCGGTTCGATAAGTGCATTAGCTGTATCGACAGATTTTTAAATCGCTTCAAGTATCGCGCCGTCGGAGAAGTACACGCGGCGCGTTCTTAAAGAGCACGAACGCTCTTATTGTTGCCATTCTTCTCTCCCCTATCCGTTTTTTTTCCCCCAATGCGGTTAGAGAGCATTTTTATAATCTCAATAACGCACGGCTAACTGGATCTATCGGTATCTATCGATAGAGTAACATAATTACCGCGATTGCGACAACCGGTAGCGATTAATAAGTCTCGCGATCGCTCCGGCACTCGCATAACAATTTATGTAACGTTTGAACGGTACCGTTTCGCGGTAGGTGTGTCCGCCATCTCCCTCGTTTTCCCGGACAGATTTTCGCTGGATAGAGACGCGTCAACCGTCTCGCGTGAGCTTTATGGAAAAAATGCCCGCAAGGTCTCCCCATCCGCGGCTCCCGTATCTACCGCATCGATCTATTTGGAATGAAGCGATGACGGCCTTCGGCTTCGAATCGACAGCGATATTTTCCGGTCTGCGGCGGAATACATATTCATTTCCGCCGCGCGGCGGTGCCTCGTGCCCGACTCGACAGTCAAATTCGAAGGAAATCCGACGCCTCGCGCGAGATTCGTCATCGCTTCGTGCTCGCGGGTCGTTTTCGCTCGGTGTGTCATCATTTTCCGCTGAGAATAACACATTCTCGGCGTGGAACCGTGTTATTAACCCAGATACATCGGGAGCTGCGCGAACGATCTCTTAGCCCGGCCAATTTTCACGCGACTCGCTTAACGAACCGTTAGATAACGACGATCGGTCTTCGACGTAGGATATATTCCGCGAGGATAGGATCACGCTACGGATAGCTAATACCGTCAGGTTCCTTACCGTTCAACGTAACGCCTACTATGGCGCCGTTGGTCGAGACCGCCATCAAACTGAGATTGTTTTCCATCGAGGACGAACTGCAATACTCCTCCAACTCGAGGCAGGTGCTGTCCTCGCTCTCCGGTATCAGCTGGATCGAGTGATTAAGCGGTTCGTCCCTGAAGAAGAACCGCCTGAGGAACTTCAGTATCCTAAGCTTGTCGTCTTTCGTGACGACTTGAATGTGATAATCCATGCTGTAGGTTTTCGCCTCCGTGTCCGCCAGCTGAAACATTCGACGGATCGTTTCTTTCTCATCATTTTTCTTATTTCCCGCCGATTTCCGCGAGGAACGAAAGCGGAAATCCAGTACGATCCGGTGTCCCTAACGGCGCGACGACGGGCGGACAACGCGTGCCCGTATCGGACCGTTGAAAGTCCCCGGTAACAGTATATCTCGCAATGCCCGAGTGTGTATATGGTAAACGTAATCCAATGCAACAGAGGCACGAGCAACATTGCTTGTTTTCGCGGCGACGGGAATTGAATTAACGCTTTCACACGCGACAATTAACGTGGCCCGTCGCATCGCATCGCATCGTTGCATGTGCCGCAATTCGCGATGCGTTCCCGTTTCTCGCCGCGCTTTATCTCGATCGGTTCTTTTACGCGGCCAGCGTGGTCGAGCAGCGTGCGTTATCGTTGATCTAGTTCCATGTAATGATTCATAACGGCTAACGAGACCTCGCACAGTTACATTTTCAGTTTCGAAAACCGTAAGAGAAAATTCGTGCGATCTCTCCTTTCGGCGCGCCGCGATTTTACCCGGCGATCGCCGCGCGTTTATTACGCGGATTGATCGCGACGATTATAATAAGTGGGTTTACATAATTCGCCCGCGAAAATTGTGTACCGTAATGGCACTCGGGTTTTAAATTGCATCGCGCCGCGGGAGACGGATCCGGCCGAAGATAGAGGATTCGCTGCAGCTTCTTTTGTAATTATTAATTTCCCGTAATGACCCCTCGTTTGTGTTATCTTGTATCGGAGCCGGAGCAATGCCGTTCCAATGCTATTAACGAACTGTTTCTATCATTCTAATAATCGTATACCGTTTCATCAGTTTCAGTGTATTTTACTGTTATTCCCGGTTTAAATATTGCGGCGATAGTTTCGGAAGCCAGGGGTTTCAAGCGTCAGATTCAAATCGAGGAAAATTCAATTTCGGTTCGCGGAATACGATTCTAATGGTCATATAGCGTTTCACCGGTGATTATCAGTAATTGCTATAGCATATTCCATTACTTCACGGTTGTTCTCGCATTAAATCGCTCGTCAATCATTTCAGAAATCATCGGGAAGGACTACAAAGTTGAAATTCCAAGTTCCCCCTAAAACGTGGAAAATGTCACTGGCTTACCGTGTACTTGGACATTTTCGGGATATCGTTTGCGAAGTTCGTCCCGGTCTTGGCGACCCCGAGACCGGCCGAATTCTCGTGATCGGTAGTCCACATGGTATCCATGGCGAATATTCGGATTTCTCGCGAGTCGCGGAACGGTACTATGGAAATTCGAGCGGTGGTATTGATTCGTGTATCCGATAGGTCACTGAATGTAGCGGCACCGTAGACTTCGCCAATAACACGATGCTCGTTGTTGACGTCGAGGTGGTAATCTAACACTGCGCTTTGTGATAGGACGTCGTCTGTCTTATATACGCTGTGATCAGGCAAAAGCCGTTCTTACTGGGACATGCGAATATAGTTTAGGAAGCTTTGCGAATCGACGGCATCGCGGTGCGATCCCCGCCCCGACCGTGTTCCCTTTCTTCGCCATTTTTGAACGGAATATCGAGCGGATCGTTCGCTTTTTCCGAGAAAACGTGCATTTTCACGGGAAGCCGATTAGCGGCGTGCAGAAACGGGAAACATCTTCTAACCGGAACGCTCGCGTCGAAACAAGTTAGTTACTTTTTGCTCATTCTTTTGACCCGTCGACCGAAGAATTAATGCATCCGCTTGTTATGCTCGGAAAACTCTTGGACCTAACTTAGTCATGATTTCTGTATAAACATACATTAACGTTTGCGCCGCGAAGCGAATAACAATCGTTTATTTCGTCAGATTTCACGTCAGCCCTTAATTTATCGTTTGCTTCATTGTTTGCTCCTCTTTTGTTTCGTTACCATGTTTCTTCCTTTATCGTTTCTAATTTATCTGTAAAATTTTTCTTGTGCACAGATTGTCGCGGCCGACGAATCAGCTGTGGCCAACAGACGAATAAATAATTGCACGAATTATAGCGACGGTGATTGTCGCTGGGATCCCACGGTAACTCACTCCGGACAGAACAGTGCCGAGGGAAGATTTAATGTTCCCGAGAGATTTGTACCGTGCCTTGTACGGGTTTTATCATTTGATATCGCCGGATGCAAATGAAACGGCGCGGGGATTACAAATGCGTCTCGAACACGTTCGGCTTCGCTTGCCACACGCGATCGGCGACGCCACGTTTGATGGAAAATTGCGGATTGAAGCGAGGCAAAATTATTTGCCGGCTCATTTAGACGTTGCATTGTATCGGAAGACCCTGGCGCACGTCGGGATGATGATAGAGAAGAACGCGTGCCATTAATCGTGCCAAGTGTATCCTCGAAACTGTTGTTCCACGAAGGTAACGTACGCGACGCTAGAACCGTCACAATTTTTCAGTGTCACCGAAGACAATCCGCGTGACCGTCGATCGTTGAAAAATACTCGTTCAGTCGGCTTCGATTCGATACACCTTTTATCGCTTTTTTTCTTCCAACTCG